CCCGGCCCACCGCCTGCGTTTAGGCCTTTCCGCACCCCTGTGCGCGGTCCTGCGTTCGCCTCTCGTCGGGAGATTTCCCGTGTAAACCGCAATAAAATGTTTGTCTCGAGCACGCTCGTCGTTCGCCGACCGGATCGAACCAACCGCGCTGCACTCGAGGCTCGCCTTGTATGTAATATAAGCATATATATAGGTACCTAACACGCCACGACGTATTTATTTTATTGTTCGTGTTACGGTGGTGTAAGTACGCATAATATATTACGTAATATAAGCAGTGATGGCTATACAGTCGTTACGCGAGCTTCTTTGTACCGTCGATTTCGTTTCAAACTTGAATTCGCACGAACACGGAAAAACTCGAGACTCGAGTCTTGTATCCCTAGACATTTGATCGCTTAAATTAAACGCGAGTCGGTTGCGCGCGGTGTTATTCGATAATACTAGAATCGGGTCAGCGGTTTTATTTTATCTTAATGGTTTTGATCACTGCGTATCAGGAAAATATTACTATATGATTTACTAGCGGAGAAATTACCCGGTTATAGGTTCTATGAAAGACGTGTTTTATAATTTTTTTTCTTAACTTAGCCTGTATTTTAATGAAAATATTAATTTATAAAAATAAAAAAAATAAATTAAGCTATGTATATTAATATCAATTTTATGAAAAAGCAGTAATTTTTATATTTAACAAAACAGAGTAAGGTAACAAAAAAAAAAAAAAAAAACAAAACAAAATGCTTAGAATTCTTTATTGACCTTCACATGTCTTCTGTGTGATTGTAATTGGTAGACTAACCTGAGTGTTTTTCAAAAAAAAATTAAAATTAAAAAAATATGCAGGTACCTAACTCATATACTCGATAAGATATTCTGGCACTCAACTCGAACCGTTTTTAAAATTTGATACCTTTACGCGTACCTACGGGTGTGAACTTTTATTTTTTAACACGTGACCTACTGGCTACTACTAATATGAATAAATGATAATATTGTTAAATTCTCGCTGACGTGGAAAAAAGTAACAGTCGAGGGAAATTTAAAATTCTAATCGATCTTTACAAAAAATTACACACAAGCATAATATAATATGTTCCATACAGATCCTGTGGTTTTTGTCCAAAAGCTACCATTTTATTTTCACACTAAATGAGTCACGTTTACTAGATTTCTTCGAATGTTATTTCATAAAAACTTAAAATTTTGTTAAAATGTTTCATTCATTTTAGTAAACATTATTTTTTATCTACTAACAGTGTTTATTCCAGATCCTCTATCCCAAGGGGATACAATAAGATAAGAGCAAATAATGGAGGGAAGTAAAAATAAATCTAAATTGCATACAAAATTATTTTTCTTGTTTTTTGCTCGTAAGAAGTTATATATAAACATTAAACCTACACACAATATAATGTAATAATAAAGCTCGGTATAATCGATTACGTCGTCGCACAATAGGCATAACGATATAAGTCAGATTATTATCGGTAGGTGCACATTAATTGACTAATTGACATATGAAAAGGCAGTTAAATAAGTTATTTAATATGTATCATATTTAATTCCCTATCATAATATTTATTTTATTTTACTATTAGTTGAAGTGTAAGTCTATTTGAGAAGTAATAACTCCCTCCCCCCCCTGAAATAAACACTGCTTACCAACATTTATTAATTATTTATTTTTTACTCCTACTGTACGGAAAAAATGTTATTAATAAACTATTCAAGCATAAATAATACTAAAAAAAATAAATAACATCATGGTAGTGTACGTTTTATGTATTTGACTAAATTTACACTTTAAGAATCTTCTAAAAATATGTTGTCTAAGAATTTTTAAGAATTACTTGATGATTATGTATAAAATAAAATAAAATAAATTAATATAATATAATAGTTGTTGTAGAATTGAGTCGTTGTATTATATTTTTCAGTTTAGGTATTATAAATTGTCAATTAAAACATTTAATAAGGCAATCATTGTGAATAAATACAGTTTTACAGATAAAAACAAAATATTGTATGAAAAAACAAATTCAATTTTAAATTAAAACGGATGTCTAAACAATCAAATTACTTTAATATATACAATTCTTATAGGTACATAGTTGAAACATGAAATTCAAATACTATTTTAGTTTACCTAATGCAATTCGTCTGGGTGAAAACAAAATGGTAGATTGGGTCAAAATAGGTATTTTAATTAATTTCCATTTCGTGATATGGGTTTCCTCTGAAAATTTTACCTTTATAGTATCCGGGTAAATGACGTTGGTCAGCCGGTTACCCCTTTTCAACTTTTCACTTTCTGTTTTCGAACGGACGATAAAATATTATATCAGCAGCTATAATTTTATACGCATAATAACACATTTAAACAGTTATACATAAATGTGTTAAAACTTAGGTACTTATTAGTTGTCAGTTGCGAATTGAAAAGTTAAAAGTGTTTGAAAGCTGTATACTGTAGATAAATTAATATATAAAAATGAAATGTGATAGCGTAAGTACTCTGGAAATGCGATTTCTTGAACAATACCACACACTGCCGCTAACGTATACAAGCTATATTTCTATATTTCTGTATAAAGTTACTTAATGGCGAACTAAACGAATTGTATAGAATTCAGAAATGTAGGTAATATATATATATATATATATATATATACATATATTCAGTGCATTAAAATACGAGCACATATACAGAAGGACTCGATAAGCATGCTCACCTCACTTTCTTTTTTTCAATAATGCAATTATTCAAAATCTGATTTACGAAATTTTTAAAATACACTTAAAGATCGTATTCTTAAATTCTTGAGATTTTTTTGTGGTATTTAAGGAGTATCCTGCGGAGATTTTTCTGTTTATAAAGTGAGAACCCCCTTTTATACTGTAAATTATTTAGTGGATACTTTTACTAAAAAGTTAACCGTATTAAAATAGAATTTTAACAAGTAATGTATGAGTTATTTAACTTTGATCATCAAGGGTAATACGTTAATGACGATGGCTTTAAAAATATAGGGACTCGAGGTTGAAAATTATAATAATTAATATTAATTTATAAATATTTATAAATTGGTAAAAATAATCCAAGTATTATAAATACTTAATATAGTATTATATCTATTTTACATTTTTGTAAAACTACATTAAAAATTATTATTTTGGTAACTGAGAGATTACTTGTTCCAATTTTGAATTAGGTAATAACAATTACAAAAAATTATCTATTAAAATAATTTTCAGCATAAAGAGGCGTTTTTGTTTGAAAAACAGAATAATTTATATCACTTCAAGAAAATAATTGGGTTGAGCATTCTTTACGAATCACCCTGTATATATACGTATAGTATTATTTATGCATGAACCTTCTTCGCAATATAAACTCACAGAATCGCAATTTAGAATGAGACGATAAAGAATTCAAAGACATTACCGGTGAAACGCAGGTATACACTGTGCTTTAAAAACTTCATTAGGATGTTCGTCGGATACGTTTGGTGATTCTTTAAGTGTTAGAATGCAATAATTCTAAAGTAAGATTTATTCTAAAAGTAGCTGTATATTATAAATTATTTTAATTTTAATCCATATCGTATTCGTAAACCACACCATTTCACGATTACAGAACAACGATTTTTTAGTGGTTTTATTTGTATTAAAATAATAAGTAATAATTTAAAACTTAGTTAAAACTACATTGCAACATACACCCATTTTATTGGCATTATTTTCATTTTTAAAATTGTTATAGACGAAAACCCAACATTTTTATGAAATTGTAATCCGTTCTTTAAGATAAATTACAATGATAGTTTTTTTTTTTTTTACTTTTTAACGCTATAAATATTTAAATTTATTATTTCTAATTGCTATGGACTAAACTTTGTACTAACATAACAGTTTTTATCTAGTTAAATATTTTGTTTAGTTTATACTTTATTTTGACTTTTGTTGTTTTAGCCATTTTCTATAATAATTCCAGTCAATAATATATTGGACTTTATAAAAAACTAATTTTTATAGTAAGTGTTATGAGTTGATACAATACATACAATACACTTGGGTAGATCACAATTGATGTCGATTGAATTACATAATTTAACTGTAATTGTTTATTATAACGCCTAAATAATACACGCATACCGAATTTTGTTAAAGTGTATTATCCAATATGCACCGATCAGTTATCGTGTCACACGCACATTTGACGAATTAACATTTTGTTTCTGATATTCAAAGCATTATGTTCGCTTTGATTGTTTGGAAAATGTTCAGTCGACTAACAATTAAATTATAATATTATTTTATTATTCTCATCTACTGTTTGGGGAAACAGTAAAATGTTATGTCATGATGTAGCAACGCTACGACGGATAGTTATTATATTATAATAGGATAAATGTATTGAAAACAAAATTTTATTCAAACTTCATTTCTTTATAATATGGATTATATGCATGTATTATTAATTAAATACAAATAAATAATGTACCAATATACATAAAAATAAAATTATATTATCGTGGTTGACAGAGGTGAGTACCTATAGTGGTTAAAATTAGATACAATAATGTCGATAACGTTTGATAAATAATTTTTTGTAGTAATATCATACTATTCAACTATTATGATTATAAACATTTTATCATAAATACGTAGTTAAATATAAACGCAAATAATTACAATTCAATGCCTACCTAGAAAATTTAATAAATATCAAAGTGATCATCAAGGTAGATATTTCTTTAGTTTCGTATAGCGATGAATGCAATTTAAATTTAAACTTCAATCATATTATGCTTTCATTTGATTATTCTGTTATTAAATATCGTATTATATTATATGACGAATAACAGTTCTCTTTAAGGTCAGATATCAATAAAATTTCTGGCTATTATTGAATAATAGGTTTAGTTAATATTTTTTATTTTATTTACAACACCATTGTTCAATTATTAAGAACAACGTAAAGGAATTATTTTTGTCTAAGACCCAATGAGCTTAGCGCCCTTTTCTTCTAATTTTAATGACAAAGGTTGACTGTGAAACCAGGCTTCGTCCAAAATGGTCTCTGGGTCGGTTTCCAAAGCAGGGTGTGCGGTGTTTGGAAGAGCCACGTTGTAGCCTGGGAACCAATTGGGAGGCGTAGACCCCCTAAGCACAGCCGCCGATTGATAAGGCTCTCGAGTTTCCAACAACATGTCGCGGGGGGCCTCTTGATCGTCGGTCATGGACGCCTGTTTGTCTGGAAAACTCCCACCAAGCAATACCTGCAAATCGTCAACATTATCTATTGCCGCCGCTTCCGCCACGGCAACATTCAGCCTGGGAATAATACTGTCCAAGCGTGAGCCCGTTTCCATTTCCGGATCCTTCACGTTGACGACGGTCGGAGGTGACAAAGGTACGACCATATCCTGCACATTAATTCAATTATTATTGTGAATACCGGTATGTATGGCGCGTCGAATAGTATGTATATCGCCTTACTTCTGTTGATATTGCTGCTGTAGGACCGAGTGCTACGAGAGGAGCCTCGAGATTACCTCTAGAAAAAAGGTGTTCGTATACTTTGATCGGATCAGTCTTCATGCTTAGCCCGTTTTCGATTGATTTCATTATATACGCTAAATATTGCGGATCAACGTTGTTTTCCTTAAATATCGGTAATGTAAGCATTTAACTCAATCTACAGTGGACAAAACAATTGTGGTATAAATTCCTTACGGTGTCCTCTCGGTTTTCTTTGGACGTGGCGTCGTACATGTCGATTATTTTCTTTTTTGGTCTTCGTTCATCTAGTATCGTGATTCCACCCAAAAGTTCAGACAGCTCAATATCTTTGTTTTCTGCCTCGACCAACTTTTGTACGGTTTGTAAAGTTACTTTACATTTTTCAGCGGGACACGGACACGGACAACAAGGTGTAGGACGCGTGACTTTGGAGGGTTCAGCGATCGGTTTGGGTAGATTGCCGTAGCATCGACAATCGTCAGTTTTATTTCCCTGAGTAATAGGTAACGTTAAAAGTGTAGATTATTTAATTTTAAATTAATTTATACTTACGGTGGTTTCCATCTTAATTATTTGTTTCTATTATTTTGATAAAATTATATTTAAAACCGAATATTCTTTTATATTTATTTAAATTAGATTTCGGATAATTTATGTTGGATGTAAATAATGATACTTCTGAAACTAATGAAAAATATAATAATTGTAAATTGTCTTGTTTATTATTTTTTAATAATAAATGTATGAGTTAGATAAATATATTTTAACTCCATTGCAACCAAATATAATTTTGTAATAAACAATTTTTAAACCAATGTATTAGGTAAATAAACATTTTATGTCTATGTTAAATTTGAATACCGTGAATACTATTTGTGTGCTGAAAATAATTTGGTAATAATTGATAGCGAACACTTAATACAATTATAAGAAACTGTTAAAGATAAATCGTGAACGTTGGTACCGTAAAAATAAACCAAAAAAAATATCTTAAAAAATAAGATATGATTAAATTGTTCAAAATGTTGTTATAAAAAAATCAAAAAGCCTATACCTATAAAGCACGAAAATAAAACTATAGCAAAATTAATTACATTTTTAAGTTTATAAATAATTATCATTTTTATTTTTTAGTCTTGAAATTCTATAATTTCTTCTTTGACTATTTAGGTCATTAGCATTATATTTAAGTAAAATTTTAAATTAATTAGTATGATGTTTATGTAAATTGCAGTAACTGTTGGTACAATTAGATTTAATATTTCGTTTAATTTAAATAAATTGTGTTTGTTTCATTGTTTTGATTTGGACCTAGATTTGTTTCAATCAGGTTGCTTGTGTTGAGTTTATCATATATTCTTCACTCTTCGAATGTGATTGATCATGCATAATTGGCATATTGGTGGGTCATCATTTGCTATCAAATATCCATGGTTAGCCTTGTGTGGCCAATTCTGGCCCGATTTAATTTTTTTTCTTCTGTTGTACTTAAATTGGATTTCTTTTTAATTCACAATTGTTCACACAAACTTATCATTTTTAAAAACCATAATTGTTTTAAGGTAGGAATTTATAATATGCATATTGTATAATAATATATTATCCAATAATATGGATAGCTTTATATTTATTTCTGTAAGAGATCTACAGTTTAACTCAAGGATTATCTGTATCCATCTATTTAAATTTGTAATAATGAAATATTTACATTTTTTTCTATCTGTAATAGTACAAATTATTTGTAGTTTTCATCTTTCCTATGTAACTGTACAAAGTGTCTTATCTTAATAATCGTGTATACAACAAAATATGATAATATGAAGAAAAAAAATTTAAAAAAATTTTTTTCTTGGAACTAAAATCATTTTCACAATTTAGATATAATATTATAAGTTCACGTTTAATATGTTTAAAACAAGACTTTGTTTTTGTTAAATAAAGATTAAATTCTTAATCTAGTATAGAATAGTGTATTATTATGTGTTTATAGATATTGTATATTTTTGCATGTAATAAAATAATACCCGTTTATTGTATTTATGTATTTATTATCAAACTGTACTTGTATTATTTATCGTTATTTTTTTTTTTCTATTATTCTAAATAATTATGAATAAATTGATAGTTTTAGAAAATATTTTTTCAGTACAATATACAATTTATATATTTATCCTAATAAGGTTCATATATTATTACGTTTCAATGATTGATTTAATGCAGTTAATATTGTAACTTAGAAAACTTTTCTTATCGTATTCTTAAAAGTGTATAACAATTATCATTTTTACTTTTGGGTATACTGGTCTAGACATTTAACACAATATCCCGTGTTCACGTATTTGTGCCATAATAAACTTAAATCGTGTTGGTTCCGTTTTATCGAACCGACTTGCTTAAGTTTTTCGTTGGCAAACCTACACACAAATACATTTCCTAGTAGGATTTTTGTCTAAGTAACCTTTTCCATTGCGTTTAATACCGTAAAGCGTGTAATTCTCAGTTCGTCAGTCGATGTTTTTATACTCTTAACATCACGCGATGTTAAAACGTCATCATTTGTATTTACTTAAATACAGGTATTTCAGGTATTTGTCATTTGTCATCACTTGGTATTCATGGTTGTTGTTATTGATGTAATCCTCATTCCTCAGATACTAGTCTAGCGCATTATAAATAACGGAAATACGTGAGCAGGTTTTAGTAAGTGTATTAACCAAAGGCCATCCATAGAGCAGGGTAAATAGGGTCTTCGCTCCGATCCTGCTCATAGTTTTTGATACATTATAGATAATATTATTTGTTGCATATTATGCAATAGAAATAATCTAATTTTTAACTGGGAGTTGTTTAAAAATATTTTAACCTAATTATAGTTATTCAAAATCTACATTAAATAATTTTATGTAAAGATATATTTTGAATTATTGAATTTGGAATAATTATTGTTAAAGTAATGTTATATACTCTCTTGTACTACATGTGTTTTATTAATTCATAATATAGAAATTGTATCTTCAGAATAACATATTTAGCTAGATTATTTTTAATATTAATTTAAATTTATGTTATAAGATTCTTAGCTAAAAATATTATCGAAGAGAGAAAGACTCCGTTGGTTTTTATTCAATATTCTAATTTTTAGGTAAGTGACAAGTATGTTTAAAATAACAATCATAACTTTAAACTGCTTTAACTGTTCAATAATTTTAATGTATTAATAATGCAAATTTTAAAATCCTTATAACTTAACTTGATTTAAAAAAAAAGTATTTAATAAGGCTTATTAGGGGCCCAGATGATAATATTTTTACCTTTATACTTCATTATAGGTTAATTCAATTGATCTATATGGGGTGACAACATAACAATAATACAATATTATTATAAGTAAGCATATGATTAAGCTTATATTCTCATGTCGATAAATGCTCTGTATTTTAATCTAATAGTAACACTGCCTTTATAAACTATTATTTAAATTTAAAATTTTAGTCTGTTCTATGTTTTTACTAAAAGTAATTAATATTGCAGTTATTTATATATACTTTTATTTATTTAACTATTATAAAAATTGTATCCATCTAATATTATTAAGTTATTTAAACTAAATAAACATCTATAAATAACAAATGTTAATGAATATCGAAACACAGTATGTAATATCACTCATAATCTTCTAAAATATACCTGAATACAAAACAATAGGTAGTTGAATATTAAAAATAAATTAAATATTTTAATTATTCAAAATTAAATTCTCGTTAAAAATGTATAGAACTTAGTCATTAATTAAGTATAATTAAATAACTAAGTATAAACTAAATGAAATCAAAATTATCATTAAATGTATTAAACGAGTACCTGTAATGTTTAAATTAAAATTTAATGAAAAGTTTGTGAACGACTTGAGATTCGTAGGAAATTATCGCAGAAAATAATTAATTGTGATAGTTGTCGGAATAAACTTTTTTTTTTTTATATAATCATAAATCTTTTTGTCGATTTGAAAGTGTCTAAGATTTGCGTATGTCTAAAAATAATAAATGACTGTCAGTGCTCCATCGGTTATCCTGTCACAAAAACAGTTTTTTTTTTTTTTATTTAGATTTTAATGAATTTAAAATAATTCATTGATTAAATAAAAGAGAATGATCTATAAAAAATTTTATTCACTTTATATAAATATGTCATGAATATAATGATGTAGAAACTTATGAGCTTAAACATTTTTAATATTCTGCAAACTCTAGTTATTACGATTATTTGATCATTATTTACCATTTTTTTTTCCTAAAAAATACAATTTTTATACAGCCATCACAATATTATGTACAATTTCAACGGTATTTTTATTTTAAAAATAACTTATAATGGTTTTGACATAGAGAAATAAAATATTTCAATTTATTTTTACAATATACTCGTATACCTTTCAATAGTAAAACCTAATATTTATTCACAATAATGTCGCATATATTTGATACAATGCTATGTTTGATGAAATGTATATTTATTCAAATTACATTTTAAATGTATTTATATTATAATATATCTGTTTAAGGAAGAAAGAATATTATATCATTATAGACATATTTTTCTTGCTATATTATTTAATAAATTTTTGTTTGTGTAGTATTACATAACATGTATCTTTTAATTAAATTTAAAACGCATTTAGTTTATAGGGGTTTCATTTGTAGCCAGGTGTGATACTCTAGTATAAATAGTATGTTGCACTGTTGCTCATTACTATATTATTTTTATTTAACTTGGTATACAGAAAACTTTTAAATTAGTACAAGTTTAAAATGCTTAAATCCTCTACATGCAATGAAAATCATTTTCAGCATCTCACAACTTAATGCAATACCTATACATATCTAAAAAATGTTATTATTCTTGATATAAATTAAATTTAACTCCAAGATCTTAATATGTGTAATGTATTTATTCAAATGAGTGGGATATATTAAAAAAAAAAAAACATAAAAATGCGTTAAACAAAGATCATTATTGTGTTTTATTTAAATGAGTTTTAAATAAAACACTTAACGAGTGTGATGGTGATTAAAAAAATAAATATACAGTACATATATTATGAAAATAAATATGTTTGTTGTTTCTTTGATTCTTAATACTGTATATTATTCTTAGTAATTACATTTATTTAATATAATAATATGTCGGTACTCGTTTCTTCATTAGTGCTTTTAATAATACACTTTTTTTTTGGTAGTATTTTACTAAGAATTGCATTTTAGTTATACTATATTATATAATTTAATAAACAATACTTACTATTAATAATATTAATACCATTAGTTTTAACGTATAACTTATAAGAGTATATTTTAATTTAATTTTTGTTTTTAAGTGTTCAAAATTAAATTTTAAATATATTTATGATGAGATTTATAAAGAAATAAATTTATATCAATACTGTAGTATTGTATATGAGAATAATATTTACAATAAAACTGCATGCAAGTCATTGATGTGGTATCCCC